TGTTCTCTCTGTGCATGCGTGGGTTTTCTCCAGGTACTCCAGTTTCCTCCCACAGACCAAAAACATGCATGTTAGACTGATTGGTAACTCTAAATTGTCCCTAGGTGTGAGTGAGAGAGTGAATGGTTGTTTGTCTCGTTTGTCTCTATGTGTCCCTGTGATGGACTGGAGACCTGTCCAGGGTGTACCACGCCCCTCGCACAGTGATTGCTGGACATGGGCACCAGTGACCCCCGTGACCCAAAATGGAATAAGCGGGTAAAGAAAATGGATGGATATTCTCATACATAAGATCCACAGGAAGTTGTCATAGACTTCTGCTGGTATAAATAAGCTTACACCACCACCTGCTGTTGAAAGAGGGGTATAACAGTTTTCCTGAAAGAAGGCTTCTCACTGCCCTTTATTTAAAATATTTTTGTTTTTGTTAATTAAGCCTGGTTTATGAGTTACTGTTTTAAATAGCAAATTCTGGTAAATTAAACTGCTTAAGAAAGCGTTTGAAAACTATAGTTGCTGTGTGACTTTTAGAAAAATTGCAGGTTTATTTAATTTTAAGTGCTTTAGAGTAACTGAACACTGGAAAAAGCCTGGTTCTTGTATCTGTTAGATTTAAACTCATTAAGTAACACTGCCAGAAGGAGGCATTTACTTAGAATATTCATGCATTGGGGTGAATCTTACAATTAAGTGCCCATTTGTAGTGGACTAGGCCCATGTCAAAACTGACCAGATGGACAGAAACTGTTATTTCATTGATCTGCATCCAGAAATACAGTTTGACCCATCCTGAGACTTTCTTTCTTGAATTAATCAAGTAGAAAAGACAATTCTCTATGATCATTACTATTTTACAAATGTTTTGATAATCAAATTGTGTTAGTTCAAACAATGTTTACAGGTTGAAGAGAACTACTCATTTTTATTTACATAAACAGTAAGTAATGATTTTTATTCCTCATTCAAAGAAGAAATCAGGGTAATATGCATTTCTTGATTTTCTGTCTTCAATGAACAAATTTGTAAGTGTGTTAGGTTCAAGTTTCGGTCAACTAAAAGTTTACTGAAAAAGAAATGTCATGTTTAACTTTTACAGAAGATACAGGAGAGTTTGACTCCACGAAGTCTGGTTTTCTCCAATAATCTTTCTGTCTGTTTTAAACAAACTTAATCTCTGTCCTTGACTTTGATAACACCTTACATCACAAACCACACCTCTTTTCTGGTCTATCCACCAATTAGAAAGCTCTCAAATGAACCGGAAGTCGACCCATTTAAATGTGGCAACTTCCCAGTTCAGAGCGGGTGCGCTCAGAATGAGTTCGGGGATCTAGCTCCTGGAGAAGTGTCAAAAAAAGGTCTGATGTCTGTGTCGAGTCTCTGTCGAAGAGAGACGCGACGAGATGAAAAGAGCTTAAAGGAGTAGAGCTCTGAAGGAGTTCAGAGTCCTTGAATCCAGAATGCAGTGACGATTTTGGGAATTATAACTTCTGTTTGGATAACCTCGCACGACTCTCGAAGTATTTTAGCTGTTCTCAACGGAGACGCTGAAAGAGTCAAAGGAAGGATTCTATACCGACGCTGATCTATCATCAACCAGGTAAAAGTTCTACTTCGACCAAGCGTACCGTGACCAAGCTGAGAACTGAAGGAGCGTGCACGTTTCTGGTCAAACAGATTAATTCCCTCACACATCTCTCTGTAAGATAAATCTCCATTTTCCATCTTAAACTCTCCTTTCTCCTAAAATCATTACAGATATTTTAGAAATATCTGAAGCAAAGTTCTCAATCACCGCCGTGTGATTGATGTCTGCTGTTCTGCTGAGAAGTGAGGACAATCTCCGTATTGTGCCCACTTTCTGTGAAACTAGCCATGTTATTGTTTTCATATTTTGCCAAATTAATGTAAATGTTTGATGTTAACCTTTGATTCTGCCAATAAATGACCGCATTCATTTTGATGGGTCAAAGATAAATAACGTCTCTCGTTACATTTCTGTTAAATTCAATGCACGACATTTACACAGTCAGAAAAATGAAGAACCCGTCTTAAATGTATGAATATATCCTGCATATGTCATTACTACACATTCATTTGAAGAAGTTGGCTTATAACAGTACTGTTGAGTGAACCCAGAGCTAAAATAGTGTGTGAAACTCACTGCTCACTTAAATACAAATATTTACCTGTTAAAAACTCTAAAGTTGGCAAACTGTGTCACCAGATAAGTGCTGAACAGTGAATAACCATGGCAGATGTGACAGAAAAGAATATTGATCCTTGTGAGATGAAGGACTGGTTGGAGAAAGCGTTAACGCTGCTCACAGAATCCTTAAATCCATATGGTGAACAGGTGGACTGCATGAACTCAAAAGAGTTATTGGATGAGCTGAAGGAAGTTGTGGAAAGTGTCACTTCCACAGCCAGAACAAAGTCCAGCTATGACCAGCTGGCTAAATTGGCGCTCTTGTTGAAAGCAACATTCTATGCTGTGGTAAACAAGGCTGACGAACTTGCAATAAGGTTAAACAGCGAAACAGAGGAGTACCTCAAACTCATGGCACAGTCTAAATTTGATCAGGAGACCCGTGCGAATGAGTTACAACATGAGAGGGAGCTCTCACAAGCTCAGCTGTCATTACAAGCTCACTCATATGAGGAGAAAATGAGGGAAAGAGAGATTAAGTGCCAAACACTGTGTTTAGACAATGAGGCACTACAACAACAGTTGCAGCTCACATCAAAAGCTCTGAACGAGTGCAGATTGGAAAAAGCGGCGTTGGTCCAACAAGGCGTGCATTTGCAGAGTGAATGTCATACATCACAGGAACGCTTAAAAGCCTGTGAGGAGAAACTAGCCGTAGCAACAAAAGAGATTTCTGACGTGGGGCGAGGTTGTCTGGAACTCAAAGATGAACAAGGTCAGAGTCCAGGTCACCCACCACCACCTCAGAAGGATTTTGCTGCACCTCCTGCTCTTAATCCACTTCCGTCACCTCCACATGTGTCTAGCGACACACCTTCACGTGCCATTTTGATTCCTACGATACCGATAAAACAGCCTTTGCTCCCGATTTCGGATTTGCACAAAATTGCAAAATATGTCAACCGCTTTGAGCCAGGGCCGTTGGGTTCAACTGACACTAAGGCCTATCTGGACAACCTTGACTTCCAATTAAGAAGCTATCCCAACGCTACAGTTGAGGATAAAGTAGGTTTGATCAGGCTCACTTCATCTAGGACGGTGTTTTCCATCATAGAGCGTCAACCTAATGCCACAAGAAAGGATTACCGCCTGTTATGTGCTGCTCTTATGAAAGAGTATTCACCTTGCACGGGACCTGGCGGGTATCCAGCCGCCGACAAGGTCGTGCAAGGTAAGAATGAGCACCCCAGGGCATATTATTCCAAGATTTTGCAGGCTTATTTTGGTTACAGGAACGAGGCCAACATGGAGGAAGAAGAACCGTTTAAGTACGTGTTCAGCAAAAATGTCCACCCTGACATAAGGACGTCAGTGCAAATGATGGCTAATTTCAAAGAGAAATCCATCAGTGAGATAAAAAGTTGTGCTGTGAATGTTTTGGAAGCACGTTCACAGGCCAAAACACACTTTGAGGTGTACCCAGGTGAGTGGATTCCTGCCCAGTCATTAGAATTGGAAGGGACGAGAGCTTCGACTGGCCCTCCCAAAAAAGGCGAGAGGAAACGAGGTTTCCCAGCAGCCAAACCATGACAGGTGAGTGCCCCCTGGTCCAGACGAGATCCTAAATGGTTTCCCAAGGAACCAGAGGATGAATGAACGTACCAGAAGGGGGGCGAACACCCTAAGGGTAAAAAGTATGTCACCAAAAGTGACCCATACAACCAGGGATCCCACCGGGAACCCCAAAAGGGAGGTACTGTTTCCCCACCACGTCGGGCTGAACAGCCTGAGGCAAAAAAGAAACAGCAGCAGGTCCAGAAAAAGAACCGCAATCCTCTGAGCTCGTACGAGACAGACAGGGTGCGTTGGTTGTTGGACTTGTTGGAAGGTGTTGCCACGGACAAACGACCTAACGCTTTGTTTGGCGATATCATTGCTGATAAGTCAGAGCACACAGACAACACCGTTACTGCTGTCACAGACAGTCACCATGACGCTGTTGTTGTAAACTCTGACATGCCCTCACCTGAGATGGGGGGGTACAATCACACGTGACCGACGGTGACCCGTCACAAACTGAAACCGCAGAAACAGCAATAGCTGTGCTAACGGTTCAGTCAAACCAGGGTGAAACAAACAACAACGCTGCCGCTGTCTCAGACAGCCACCAGAACCTTGTTGTTACAAACAATGAGAGCCGCTCAACAGACGGTGAGCGGGTGATCTCATACATCAATGACGGAAGCCCATCAACAGCCGAACTCTCAGGAGCGGCAGCAACTGCACCAACGGTTTGAAAAAAACAGGATTATACAGGTGAAGGTAGACGTGAGAAGAATCGTCGGCCGAAACCTGTGTAATCTGATCAGAAAGGGGGTCACTGAGAAAGCTTACCTGTCAATCACACTTGAAGGGGTCGTCACACATGAAGCCCTACTGGATGGTGGAGCCGACATAACTATTTTGTCAGTCAAACTGTTCGAGGAGTTCAGGACTGCCGCTAGTAGTGTTCACAGGGGAGTACCTCTCATAGAATGTGCTATAGGGCTGCAGGGCCTCGCAGAGGCGAAGACAACCCTAACAGCTATAGCTATGGTTCACATGCAGGTTGGCGAGATGACACTATACCACCCGTTATATGTGTCTCCGGTTGACTCATTCCCATTTTTGGTCGGCCAGGATTTTATAAATTGCTTTGACGCGATTATAGATTATGGTAAACAGACAATGTGGGCTAGAGTGAGCAAACCCTTGCCAATACTCATGCCTCCTGAGACAGTCACAGACTGCCCAACAGCAGGCACTGCAGAAGGCACCGAGGACCTCTCGACAGAGAACACAGTCCTGGTAAGTTATCCTTCAAAAGCATGTGGAACCGAAAACACCCAACCGGTGAAACCGACTCTGACTGAACAACTAAGCCTCCTCTGCGAGCTGAAACAGTCAGGGCCCACCGGATGCTACCTACCATTGGTAGTTCAAGGTGTAGAGATCCAAGGATCCCACACCAAAGATGCTGTACTGTCGTCGGGGACAGATAAACCAGCTATCAAGGACGGAGCCGTGGACAGCCCTCAGAGGTCCTCTGACCCCTCCAGGCTGCTCGCAACCCTGTCAGTACAACCTACAGCCG